TATCGTCGTCCCTTCTCACATCTCTCTCCTCTCCATGATCCACATCCTTCAATATGCCTACACCGCCTGCGCAGGGGTAAGCGATTAAGCGGTAGGGTCTCCCCACTCGCCTCCTCATAGCCATGACCGCATCGACCAGGGTTCCCCCCTCCCCTAGAAAGCTCCTGCCCTCCCGTATCTTCCAAAAAATAAAAACAAGGGAAAATTTCCCCTGTCCCTTTTTCCCCCCCCCCTTTTTTTTTTTCCCCCCCCCCCCCCCCCCCGGGGGGGGGGGGGGGGGGGGGGGTTTGGGGGGGGGGGGGGAAAAAATTAAAACCCCTTTCCCCCCAAAAAAAGGGGGGGGGGAAAACCCCCAAAAAAAAAGAAAAAGGGGGGGGGGGGGGAAAAAAAAATTTTTTTCCCCCCCCCAAAAAAAAGGGAAAAAGGGGGAAACCCCAAAGGGGGGGAAAAAAAAGGGCCCGAAATTTAAAGGGGGGAAAAAGGGGGCAAAAATGCGGTTTGCTTCAGGTATTGATAAGGGTTATTTTTTATTAATATTATTAAAAATAATCATTTGGTGGGTGATTATATTGTCTGGTTCACAAGTGTGTATTATATGATGTTTTTTTTTTGCATATCCAAATTCCCATGAGAGGGGGGCGTCAGGCCAGGGTGAGCAATTATGAACGGGTGCTGGCTCATGTGGTTTCTTGTGTTTCGTGGGTGTCGATGCTCTCTCTCGTAGTGAGAAGGAGTTAAAGAGAGCAGAGCAGGAGGACGAGGAGCGTAGAGTGAAGGAGAGCGGAGAGACGAGAGAGCAGAGATGAGGAGCGCGGAGAAGGAGAGGGACGAGCAGGCGCAGCGAGGAGCAGAGAGATGAGAAAGGACAGCAGAGCGGAGAGGAGGAGAGACGAGAGCAGAGAAGCGACGAGATGCAGAGCCAGAGAGGAGGCGAGAATGGAGAGAGAGAAGAGCGAGGGGAGAGCGCATAGAGAGAGAGAGAGGCGAACGAGACGCGCCTCGAGCGAGAGTCTGCTGAGCACTGCTAAGCCCGTCTCTCTTGATCGCCGCTCGCTCTCTCTCACTACTCTCTATCTCTCTATTCCTCTCTATATCTCTCTCTCTCTCTCTCTCTCTCTCTCTCTCTCTCTCTTCTCTCTAAGATATGTCCACACACTCCCCTGTCAGCTGCCGTAACACTGGAAGTATCTCCCAGACAGTCTCCCCTCATAGCCCCTGAAGCATCACAGATGCCCCTCTCCCCCTGTGCCTACTGCCCCCATGTATGCTTCCCAAATGGCACCATATTTCCTATGGGCCCTAGTCAACAGTAACACACTGACTAGGGAGCCCTTTGGGAAGCAGCCCATATTGATGGCCAGTGTGAGGAGTGTTCCCCATGAGCATACTGCGGGAGCCTTCTGGTACATATAAGTCTGTTTTCATATTCCTCTTCCTCTCTGCTTCCTGTCATGAGACCGTGATGAAGCTTGATTCTAAATAGGAATTGACGGGGTGCCTTCAAGCCTGACGCTAAATTACACCCTGTCATCGTGGCGGCGTATTCCTCATCTTCATTTGTTGTTGGGAGAAAAAAATGGAAAAAAAATCGCATCGCGTTAATCTACCTTCATCTCTGGTGCATGTTGACATTTAATGACATTTTGAATTTGTGAAGACCGGGCGACATCCATGGCTCTAGGATTGGGTTGTTGTCTTGGGGGGCAGAGAACACTGCCGTGGGGGGAATGACCCATCTGAAAGGTTTGGGGTGGGCCTCACATGCCACGCTATTCCCCATATACTGTATAGTGCGCTACTGTTGACCACGGCCCATAGGGAACTATATACAGGGAATAGGGTGCCATTTGGGACCAGGGCCATAGGGAACTATATACAGGGAATAGGGTGCCATTTGGGACCACGGCCCATAGGGAACTATAGACAGGGAATAGGGTGCCATTTGGGACCAGGGCCCATAGGGAACTATAGACAGGGAATAGGGTGCCATTTGGGACCAGGGCCCATAGGGAACTATATACAGGGAATAGGGTGCCATTTGGGACCAGGGCCCATAGGGAACTATATACAGGGAATAGGGTGCCATTTGGGACCAGGGCCCATAGGGAACTATATACAGGGAATAGGGTGCCATTTGGGACCAGGGCCCATAGGGAACTATATACAGGGAATAGGGTGCCATTTGGGACCACGGCCCATAGGGAACTATATACAGGGAATAGGGTGCCATTTGGGACCACGTCCCATAGGGAACTATATACAGGGAATAGGGTGCCATTTGGGACCACGTCCCATAGGGAACTATATACAGGGAATAGGGTGCCATTTGGGACCACGGCCCATAGGGAACTATAGACAGGGAATAGGGTGCCATTTGGGACCACGGCCCATAGGGAACTATAGACAGGGAATAGGGTGCCATTTGGGACGCAGCAGTGGTTTGGTTCGACATGCTCTTATATGGCAGATCTGGTGAACAGACACTAAATACTAACAAATACAAGGGATACATGTACTTCTGTGTGTGTGAGAGTGAGTGAGTGAGTGAGTGAGTGAGTGAGTGAGTGAGTGAGTGAGTGAGTGAGTGAGTGAGTGAGTGAGTGAGTGAGGGAGTGAGTGAGTGAGAGAGAGAGAGAGAGAGGAGAGAGAGAGTGAGAGAGAGAGAGAGAGAGAGAGAGAGAGAGAGAGAGAGAGAGAGAGAGAGAGAGTGAGAGAGAGAGAGTGTTTGTGTGGCAGGCTGAAGAGGCTGAGGGTGAGTGTGCATCGTGACTGGGTGGGGGTTTGAGTGGGAGTAGGGTGGTGGTGGAAGTCGTGTGTTGTGTTGTGTGTTGTGTTGTGTGTGAGTGTGTTGTGAGTGTGTTGTGTTGTGTGTGAGTGTGTTGTGTTGTGTGTGAGTGTGTTGTGTTGTGTGTGAGTGTGTTGTGTTGTGTGTTGATGTGGGAAAGCAGATAAAACTCTGAGGCATTTCTTCTTCTATATTATAAAACCACTGAGAGTAACAATCAACACAGGAAAGAAAGAGAGAGAGAGAGCAAAATAAATGAAAGAGAGGAAAGGAGAGAGTGAAGACAAGATGATATGAAAAGACAGGAAGGGAGATGGAGGAATAGAAGTAGAACAGAATTTCAAAATAGCCTCTTCATCTCCACTCTGCACGACTTGTACAGTACGTCATGGATAACTCAGGTCCCTCACACTGCACTGTATGCACACACGTCATGGATAACTCAGGTCCCTTCCACTGCACTGTATGCACACACGTCATGGATAACTCAGGTCCCTTACACTGCACTGTATGCACACACGTCATGGATAACTCAGGTCCCTTACACTGCACTGTATGCAACGAGTTATAGGCTGTTCCAGTCATGATTACATTATTGACAGTTTGTCACGTGAATTTTTATCTCTAATTCAACCTAAGCTTGAATCATTACCAGAGGTTGTAAAGCTCTGGTTTTAATCATCAATGATTCAAGGTCCACAATCCACAAGTAATTATCAGTAAATTTTATTTAAGGAGAGCTCTGCTCAAAAACACAAATATCCTGTTTTTATACTCCTTGACAAACAAAGACACTATGCTCCTCCCACCTTTCTTAAACAGTTCCCGCCTTCCCCCTTGAATGTTTAGTACCGCCCCCTCTGTTAGTGGGTTGACACTACATGATAATTCTAACATTTATACTGTGTTTGGGGTGAAATTCTTTAGTCATTATTTTTAATACACAAATTCATCTATCACAGTTAATTATCTTTCTCCTTGTTGCTTTTGTTCTGCATATTACAGCACTGCCTCTTCAATTTTTCCCACTCCCTAATTTCAAAGATGAAAGCTTGCAATGCGATTTTCCCTCTCATTCCCTCTCATTTCTTCCATCGGTCCTCGGGACCCCAAAGGGGTGCACGTTTTGGTTTTTGCCCTAGCACTACACAGCTAATTCAAATAACCAACTCATCATCAAGCTTTGATTATTTGGGGTCTTCAGGACGGAGTTTGTTTAACTCTGCATTAGGACTAATAGAGTGTCTCTGATGTTGGTCAGTAGGGCTGGGAATTGCCAGGGACCTCACGATACGATATCATCACCATACTTAAGTGCCGATACGATATGTATTGCGATTCTCACGATTCTATGTGTATTGCGATTCTCACGATTCTATATGTATTGCGATTCGATACTGTGATTTTATTTGCGATTCGATGTCCCAAACATATTGCTGACCAGATGTCTGCTGCAGAGAGACGACAGGATGAGAAAATGGAAATCATGGAAACAAAGTGCTGAAAACATGTTGGCTCACTACTTAAAAAGAAGATGGAGAACAAGCTATAAGATAACAAATACTGGAGTTTTAGCGTAGGTAAAACTGACTAGTTAACGCTACCTAGCAACAAAAAATGGTTTTATACTTGGGAGTCAAAGTATCAATATAATATCATCCAAAAATATATCACGATATGTAACTGTATCGATTTTTTCCCCCCCATCACTATTGGTCATTGATCATGCCTGAGTCTTTCGCGGAATACTTTTGATATCTGCCCCCCCCCCCCTTTGAGTCAGCTTTTGTTTCCTCAGAGGAGAAAAGCATGCTCAATTAAAAAAATAAATATATGATACTTATCGTTATATCTAGAAAATGTCTGCCACAACTAATGAAAAATGACAAGGTGGTACCATAGCCATTATACCCATCCTTCCCCTTTAAACGTCGTCAAGTGCATACACACTGTAGTCTACTCTACAAAACCAAGAGGAAGACTCACCAAGACAATTAGTCTGCTCAGAGATCTGAATAGCATACAGTCAAAATTCCTGGAATGTTCCCAGAATTCCCAGGTTTTCCAGAATTCTTGGTTGGAGGATTTCCTCCTAATTCCTTTAATCTTCCTACAGCAACCCCAGGCTTACCTGAGATCCATCTGCCAAATCTTAACCCCTACCCCTAATCCTAACACTGTCATTTACTGACCTTTGCCCTTTCGCCCCCCTAGAACCCAGAGGACCCAGAGTGTGGGTCAGGAGCCCCTGAGGAGGCAGGGGTCGTCGTCTGCAGGTCGCGCCCCCCAGCCCCTCTCTGCTCAGGCCATCAAGCACATCTGGGTACGCACCGCCCTCTTCGAGAAGGTCCTGGACAAGATCGTACAGTACATCGTGGATAACTCCAGGTAAAAAAATGGCAACTTCTGCATTAACTCACACTGCACTGTATGCAAAGAGCTATAGGTTATCAATGTCTGTTCCAGTCATGACTACTCTATATTTTAATTTAATTAGCTTTCTCCCTGTTGCTTTTGTTCTGCACACTACATTACTGCCTCTCTTGAATTTTCAGACCCCGTAATTTCATTCCATGTTTTGTCTTACATTAGGCCTAATGGAGTCAGTTGAGTGGTGTTTTCTCATGTTGGACTCAATGCTCTTTTGTTTCTCTACATTGTGTGTGTGTGTGTGTGTGTGTGTGTGTGTGTGTGTGTGTGTGTGTGTATTGTCTCTACAGTAAGTACTATGAGACGGAGTCTCTGATGCATGACTCAGTGTTTGGACCCATCCTGGCATGTCTACTAGGTAAGTTGCCACTACGAGCTGTTATAAAATGCTACATTGGGTTGTTATAATGCTACATTGGGTTGTTAAAATGCTACATTGGGTTGTTATAATGCTACATTGGGTTGTTATAATGCTACATTGGGTTGTTATAATGCTACATTGAGTTGTTATAATGCTACATTGGATTGTTATAACGTCTCAATGGACTGTTATAATGCTACATTGAGTTGTTATAATGTCTCTACGGACTGTTATAATGCTACATTGGGTTGTTGTAATGTCCCTACAGACTGTTATAATGCTACATTGGGTTGTTATAATGCTACATTTAGGTGACACAAAAGCACATACTGTAGATACTCTTTTTGCTTATATTTACTCTCTCTCCCTCCCTCATTCTCACCCTCTTTTACCCCCTCTTTCGCTCTCCCCCCTCCACCCGTCCCCCCTCCAGTGGGTCCCTGTGCTCTGGAGTACACTAAGCTGAAGACGTCCGACCACTTCTGGACGGACCCGTCCGCCAACGAGTTGGTCCAGCGCCACCGGATCCACGGGGCCCACCGTGGTCAGGACGCTTCCCCCAGCAGGAGGCCCGCTCTGGGGGTGAGAGAGGCTGGGTCCCTGGGGGGCCTGGGGAATGCATGGGGCACTTACTGGAGGAGTCGATCAATACAGTACAATACATTCTGTGAGGATTCAATGAGCAGCTATGGCAATAATCATTTCCTGTACGTTTATTTAGCCAGGATAGTCCACTCAGTAACAGGGAGTCCTGGGAGTAGTCTCTCAGAAGGGCTTAGACCCTTGTGGTCAGACAATAGGGCTAAGTAACTACAGGGTCAAATCCCCAGTGGGTAAAGAACAGAGTCAGTTTCAATCATGGTCACATGGTCTGCATCCCTAATGACACCCTAGTCCCTATATAGCGCACTACTTTTGATCAAGGCCCCAAATGGTGCCAGTCACATTCTGTTGAAGGTCCCCAAAGCACACACTTCCCTGGGTCGCTCCTCTTTTCAGTTCGCTGCAGCTAGCAACTGGAACGAGCTGCAAAAAACACTCGAACTGTACAGTTTTATCTCCATCTCTTCATTCAAAGACTCTATCATGGACACTTTTACTGCCACTTGTGGCTGCTTCTCGTGATGTATTGTTGTCTCTACCATTTTGTCTTTTGTCCTGTTGTCTGTGCCTAACAATGTTTGTGCTGCTACCGTGTTGTGTTGTTGTCATGTTGTGGTGTCTCTCTTTATGTAGTGTTGTGGTCTCTCTTTATGTAGTGTTGTGGTGTCTCTCTTTATGTAGTGTTGTGTTTTGTTGTGGTGTCTCTCTTTATGTAGTGTTGTGGTGTTCTCTTATGTAGTGTTGTGGTGTCTCTCTTTATGTAGTGTTGTGGCTGTGTTGTTATGTAGTGTTGTGGTGTCTCTCTTTATGTAGTGTTGTGGTGTCCTCTTTATGTAGTGTTGTGGTGTCTCTCTTATGTAGTGTTGTGGTGTCTCTCTTTATGTAGTGTTGTGGTGTCTCTTTATGTAGTGTTGTGGTGTCTCTTTATGTAGTGTTGTGGTGTTCTTTATGTAGTGTGTGTTCTCTTATGAGTTTGTGGTGTCTCTCTTTATGTAGTGTTGTGGTGTTCTCTTTATGTAGTGTTGTGGTCTTCTTTATGGTAGTGTTGTGGTGGCGTCTTTTATGTAGTGTTGTGTGTCTCTTTATGTAGTGTTGTGGTGTCTCTCTTTATGTAGTGTTGTTTGGTTGTTCTCTTTATGTAGTGTTGTGGTGTCTCTCTTTATGTAGTGTTGTGGTGTCTCTCTTTATGTAGTGTTGTGGTGTCTCTCTTTGTATGTTGTGGTGTTCTTATGTAGTGTTGTGTCTCTCTTTTGTAGTGTTGTGTTCGATTGGTGTCTCTATGTATGTTGGGTTGTGCTCTCTTTATGTAGTGTTGTGGTGTCTCTCTTTATGTAGTGTTGTGGTGTCTCTTTATGTAGTGTTGTGGTGTCTCTCTTTATGTAGGTGTTGTGGTGTCTCTCTTTATGTAGTGTTGTGGTGTTCTTTTTATGTAGTGTTGTGGTGTCTCTCTTTATGTAGTGTTGTGTGGTTCTCTTTATGTAGTGTTGTGGTGTCTCTTTTATGTAGTGTTGTGGGTTCTCTTTATGTAGTGTTGTGGTGTCTCTCTTTATGAGTGTTGTGGTGTCTCTCTTTATGTAGTGTTGTGGTGTCTCTCTTTATGGAGTGTTGTGGTGTCTTCTTTATGTAGTGTTGTGGTGTCTCTCTTTATGGAGGTGTTGTGGTGTCTCTCTTTATGGAGTGTTGTGGTGTCTCTCTTTATGTAGTGTTGTGGTGTCTCTCTTTATGTAGTGTTGTGGTGTCTCTCTTATGTAGTGTTGTGGGTTTGTGTGGGCTCTCTTTATTTAGTGCTGTGGTGTCTCTCTTTAGTGAGTGCTTGGTGTCCTCTTGGTGTGGGCTCTCTTATGTAGTGTGTGGTGTCTCTCTTTAGAGTTGTGGTGGCTCTTTATGTAGTGTGTGGTGTCTCTTGATGGTGTTTGGTGTCTCTTACTATTAGAGTGTTGTGGGTCTCCTTTGTAGTGTGGGGCTCATGAGTTGCCTCTTATGAGTGTTGTGGTGCTCTCTCTATAGGTAGTTTGTGTGTCTCTCGTTATGTAGTGTTGTGGTGTCTCATACTGAATGTGTTTGGCCTCATGAGTTGTCTCTCTATGTAGGTGTGGTGCCTTCTATGATTGTCTCTCTCATTACTGATGTAGTCGGGTCTTCATTTCAGTAGTTTGGGGTCTCTCTAGTGGAATTTGTCGATACTCCCGTTCTAATGCTATGGCTAAGTGCTGGTCTCTAGAGGTTAGTGTACTTATACTTACCATGTTAGTTTATCTATGTAGTGTGTGGGTCTCCTTATGTACGATTGAGATAGCCCTGCTCTAGCCTTCTCTGATGGTGTTTCTCCTATTGGGGTGTTTCCTAGCCAGTGTGTCATCTCAGTTGTTGTTGCTCTTATGGGATTTAGTGGTCTCTATGAAGACTTTGAGTGCTCATGTTATAGGTAAAAAAAAGTTGTGCTCCATGTAATAAGAGCGTTGTGGTTTTAATACTGTAAGTGTCCTATATGAGTGTGTGTGGACATTAGATAGCAGGCTCACTTTAGAACAGGTACTCTAGCGTTTCTCTGGAAGTATGTAGGATGCTTCTACTGCTAGAATGCTGCATCTTGTAGGCGGTTCTTGGACTTGCGGTCTAGGGCTTTAGACATAATGATACCAGGGTGTCAATAAGCTTTGTGGTTGTAAACGAAATTGTCATCCCTGATTAACGGCTATAAAAGTAAACCATGAGTGCAAAGTTCTAAAATCTACATTTAAATGTCATGGGACTTCGACCACCAGAAGATACCCCTTAACTCTCTCTTATGTAGTGTTGTGGTGTCTCTTTATGTAGTGTTGTGGTGTCTCTTGTCGTGATGTGTGTTTTGTCCTACATTTAAAATTTTTATCCCAGCCCCCGTCCCCGCAGGAGGCCTATTGCCTCTTGGTAGGGCGTCATTGTAAAAATAATTTGTCTTAATTAACTTGCCTGGTTAAATAAAGGCTAAATAAAAATAACTAAAATATTTGAGATGCAATCGGTCAGGATCTGAGTCACGTCCTTACACACTCAATACTGAATAACGTAGACCAGGGTTCTTCAATTCCGGTCCTGGAGGGCCGAAACCCCTCTGTTTTTCATCCTCTCCTTCTAATCAGGGGCTAATTCAGACCTGGGACACCAGGTGAGTGCAATTAACTACCAGGTAGAAATAAAAAACAGAAATGTTTCGGCCCTCCAGGACCGGAATTGAAGAACCCTGACGTAGACCTTTCTCATGGCCTGTTTCCCAGATCCGGAAGAGGCAGTCCAGCGTCAGCATGTCCGAGGATAAGTTTGCGGCGTCTGCTCGGGAATACGTGGAATCTCTTCACCAGAACTCCCGTACTCACCTGCTCTACGGCAAAAACAACGTCCTGGTCCAACCGGTAAGAGTACACAGAGTTTTAATACTGTACCATGTAGTAGTATTATTATTGTAGTGCTGTAGAAATATTATATTACAGCCAAGAAGAGGATCAGCCACCTCTCTGAGCCGGCTTCCTCTCTAGGTTTCTTCCTATTCTAGGGAGTGTTTCCTAGCCACCGTGCTTCTACATCTGCTTTGCTTGCTCTTTGGGGTTTTAGGCTGGGTTTCTGTGAAGCACTTTGTGACAGGTGCCGATGTTAAAAGGGCTTTATAAAATACATTAGATTGATTGAACTCAGGGATGGTCAATAAGGCTTTGTGGTAGTTAGTAAATAAACCCTGAGAAAGTTGCTCCCTATATGACCCCGTCTGTTTGTGGAATTGCATACCGGCTCCTCTATAAAAACAAGTCAAAGACAGTACAGTATGAGGATATGGCAGAAACTGCTTCTCCGTAGAAATCCTCGATCGCACTTGTAGGCGATGTCATGGCGACGTTGGCTAGCGAGCGTAGAAACAGGTCACCGGGTCTAACTGCGAATGTGTGGGTTGTCAAATCAAAAGGCACACTTGTTTTTGACGAAAATGAAAACGTGTCAGTTTGTCACTTTCACGAGGTTGGAGTAATAACATGATCAACTAAGACATTGGCTCAAATCCAGGTTGGTGCCTTTAGATTTCGAGAAAATTAACAACTAAGGAAGAATGCTTCACTTCTCTCATTGACTTCTCAAACCCCAAACCCCGGCCTGGTCTGATTGGTCTGTTTCGCAAGCGTTCCCGGAAGGCTCGCGATGTTGCGCCTCTGGGTTTAGAAATTGTGACAAAGTAGCCTATCGCCGGCCCAGATTCACACACAGAGGCAAAAAAAGGTTGATCAAAGGTGGGATCTGCATTGAATAGCTATGGAGAGTGGGCATTCATTTCCTGATTCTGCTTTGTTCAAGTTTATTTGCCCGCTAGTCTGTGAATATGTGCGTGACCGTACGACTGTTCCAGATTGCGCAAATTGAAAATGCGCCAGCCTTAATGCACATGATGCACTGTTCCAAGTTGTCAAATGAGGGTTTATAAAGGTCATGAAAAGTCATGGAAATTAGTTTAATAAGGTTTGTTAATGTAATTCATGAAGGCACACTTTTAAAAAATCGACATATCAGCAATTCTGTAATGACCCTTCAGTGCATGTCTATGCGTGCCAGTGCGAGTGGGATGTTGCCCGAGGAGAGAGAGAGTGCGACGTTTCAGCTGCAGGTATAAAATAATGAGACAACAGACCAACTAGATAGCCAGTTCAAAACATAACTTGCAGCAGTTAACTCGCTAGTTAACTATCGCTAACTAAGCATTCATGTCTTTGTCGCCTTTCCACTGGCACTGTAGATAGCCTAGATAAATCTGCACCGCTGGAAACCTGGGATTCCCCTCTATTAAGCAGTAGCCATGTAATTGCGACATCGTTAAAAAAACATTCTAAGAACAGCCTAATTGACGACTAACTTGCTGTGCATAGATCTCTCCTGAAACATGAATATTTTAGCCTTGTATATAAACGTGTCTAGTTAGAAAACTTGCTTTGAAGTAGCCTGCCTACCTTATCAATTTGATCCCCGATTCATTGATTGAGGGAATCATTTTATAAAGACAAAAAGTATTTGGTTGTAATGTTGCAATATTTGATATTGTCAAAGTCGCGTCAATTCAAATCTGGTATTAGGAACAAAAGAGGTCAACACGACTTCTAAGATATACTAGTTATTTTAATTAATGCAAAAACCTTCAATGGTAAATATGATGTTTCGTATATACGGGCTCTCTGAGATGCCTCGCAGGACACTCCAGAGAACTAACTACATTGTTTCAGAAACAATACCCAAATACTCTGACAGAGAAAGTTTCCCACTTCTCTGCTGGCCAATTAGAGTAAAGACTTGAGCGTGGTTTAAACTTTCTCAGCCAATCCGTTGGTTCAGGGGTTGGTCTCATCTCCTCGGCGCCATTTGTTGCACACTTCAGCCAGGCACAAGATTATCATAACAACCTATCATAGTGAGAAGAGCCAGCTCCCTTAGACATCATTCCTACGTCCAAGGAAGGCTCACAGATCACAAAGAACCAGTATAGTCTAGAATTTGGAGGCAAATCCTTATCTCCCTTTACCCCCTAAAACAGCTCTTCACATCAATCACAGCCTTACCAGGTGTCACAACCTACATTAGCCCAGTCAAGAATGCATTCTTTCTAAGTTAGTCATCCCATCAATTTAGGAGAATAATAAATCCCCAATAATATCAAGGGTGGCAGTCATCCTACAGGATAGCTACTGGGTGTGCAGGCTTTTGTTCCAGCCCTGGTCTAACCACATTGTAGCCTAAACATCAGCTGCTCAACAGGACCTTGATAAGCAGACCAAGGAGTTCTCCAGATGGAGAGTTGACCTCATGGAGAAGTCATGGAAAATGTGCATGAACCCTTAACAGTGACCAATCAGAGGTCTCTATAGCATAATGTCATTTGTGAGTTGCCGTTTACATAGTCTAATGGACCGACTTGGAAAAAGACAGCTCCTGCACTTATTTCATCCCAAGTCAAGCACTGTGCCACACACACACGCTGCTGCTACTCTGTTTATTATCTATCCTGATTGCATAGTCACTTTTACCCCTACCTACATGTACATATTACGTCAATTACCTCGTACCTCTACACATTGACTCGGTACCGGTACTCCTTGTAAATAGCCTCGTTATGTAAGGGATAAAAGCTGACATTACCTTGGAAAAATGTACTCCGTAAAGGGACTCAGCGTTTATCAAGTTTATACCAAAGTTACCAAAGAAAACAATACTAAGGCACACATTTACCGGTAGAAATGTTTGTTTTGTTTTTTCAGTTTAAAAAAAAATGTATAAGTGAGACGCGACCCAGTCGTTCGTTCGATTAGTTCTATATTTAAGGACGTGAGCCAGTTGTTTAGTGTACAGTATGTGTTCTTGTCCCTTACTTGATAGATAGCCAACTAGCTATAGCTAATAC